GTCCTGTTCTTTAGAAGTTCTTTTCCTAAAATGCTTATTCGATATCTTTAATATAGGTAGGTATTGAAGTTTATGCTTACCTTATTCAAGCCATAAAATGTTTTTTCTTTGTTTTAGAGGGTTTATGACCAAATTTTTTTAAAATAGATTAAAGTGTTGTTCAACTTCTACTTGGTAGTTTAGATACCAAATAAAAGTATTTGGTAATACCTCAGTAATAGGCAGAGGGCCTATTTATAAAAGCCAAAGACTCGTATCATGTGGGATTATCTGGTATCCATAGGCATACTATTATGAAATTCATATTTGATATATAATATTAAATCGGAAATTATTTAATCGTTGAAGCATAGTTTGGGTTTCATTTACAGACAGTTATTGCGAAGGTATCAGACCGTAAGAGATAGATGAAGTAAAAGACAACATTGTGTAAAAGACATCAGTGGAACTGAAAACCAATGGAAAATAATGAACCAGAATAATTTTTGATTGAAAATTAAAGATAAAAAATGTTGTTATGAAAATATTTACTAAAAAAAATATTAAAAACTATTATTTAATTTTAATATAAAGTTTATTTATTTACATTTCTTTCAAGATAAAATATGTTAAAATCAGCAAAATAAACATTTCTAATAACTTTTTATGTGGAAAATTACTATTATTTATTCTGAAGCATTATTAAGAGTTTGATATTACCCGTGCCTACATTATCTAAACATTAAATAATACTTAATAGAGCAATATTAAACTTTATGAAGATAAAATTCATAACTTATTTAATATTAGAGCATATATAAAATTTTTTCTGTTGTTATTTAAATTTTTCACAAAATGACAATTTAACAAACAAATCACTTATCCAAAACTAAGCATTTTATGAAAATATTCGGTTTTATATATAGATAAAATAATAGTAAACAAGCTAAAAATATAAATAAATAATATCTAATAAATGAGAGGTATTTTTTTCAGGAACGTGGTCTAACTTTCTTGTCTGATAAGCATATAGCTGCAGAGTTATTCTCATTTGGAGATATATGGGTGTTTTTATACTGACATTGATATATTCTTATATATATTTTTTGAATATTGATAAAACTTTCTTCATATTTACTGAAGATTTACAAGTTTTGCATAAAAAAGCCCATAAAAAATATTGAAAGCATTTGACTTCAAACTTCGCATCTGTCAAACTATTATTAATAACCGCAAAAATGTATTCATATATCTTATATTTGAGATTAAAAATATTCCAACAAAACTTACTTTTTAAAAATTTTGGTATATATATAGACTACAATAAGAATAAAAAAAAATTTATCATCACTTACAACGTGTAGTTAGATTTAAATATATTTATAGTTAACTTTTATATAAACATCTTCAATCTCAATAATAACAATCTTACTTACTTTACTCACTTATGTGGACATAACAACCCGATATGGGGTTTCGGCCTGATACAGCATGTCTCTCTAGGCGCTTCTGTTGCTTGGGCCCCTTCTGTAGTCTCGTACATCAAGTCCAGTTAGTGGTCCTTCAACTTGATCACTCTACCTGTTACACTGTCTACTTCTACGCCTTCTTTCTTTAACTATCCCTTCAAATACCAAATGCTTTTCATGGAAGCATCTTTATCTATTCTCACGATAGGACCAAATTAACGAATTCACTGGATGTTAAGGTCGTGGTTCATTTAGATGTGGTAGTCGTCGCCAACTCGTACAGACTAAAGGCCATACAAAGAATTTTTCTCTCGAAAACTCCCAGTGCTGCTTCATCATTTTATGCTAACGTCTATGCTTCTGCAATAATAACAATAAAAACAATCACTGCAATCACTAAAGTAAATGTAAAAATGAAAAGAGAATATATTATATAGAAAACGTTCTATAAAAGTCATGCATGTTAAAACTACATATTAAAAAATATTTCTCAAAACCTTAACTTGTCATAAGACCTATTCACATTAATGTCAGATAAATGTTTAAAACTGGTTAACTGATAGAAGACAAGGTTTCTTCATGAGGAGAGAGAGACTTGATTATATCTCTTCTTTATGGTATAAACCTACTTGAGATACATTGATCTAAATCATTAAGTTCTTGAAAATATTCAAAAGCTATGAGGTATTAAAATATATAGAATTAATTTGATTTGTTTCAAGTTACGTATAGATCTATTGGTTCCTAGCGGTATGAGATAGAGTTAAATCTCTATATAGATTATATAACGGGTACCTTTACTCATTTCTAGGAGTGCTGGATGCTAAGCATCTTATTAGATTTTTTAAAACCTGCTTTTAGACCACATTTCATTGGTATTTCAACCCGGTTCCAATATGCCGTGGTTTTAATATTAACGTTATGTGCTATATGTGCAGTCTTAATAAGGTATTAGATATTAGAAGAAATATTGTTATTTGTTCTTTATTTTAAATAAATATGTAAAGCTATTATCAATGTTTAAAAATAATTTCTAAATTTTGTTTAAATTGTAAATTTTTTACTTAGTTTGGGTAATACCAATTCAAATGCCATTTACGTGTCGAAGACTAAGCTTAGTCATAATTCTTTCTTCTTATCGAATACTTGAAATATCTTTCCAACATTGTTAGTAAACTGTACGGTACATAAATTTCAAAATTTTTCTCATCTGATTTATAACTAATGTGTATGATAGTAAAAATAATTACTGCCTCCACTGTAGAACCTGACATAGGTATACGAAATGCTATTTAACAATAATAAGTGTTAGCAATCGGAGAAATTCATATTTGCGGTTTCTAATCGAAGTGATTTGGAAATAAATCTTCGTTGAAAGTGAAATGAATTGATTATTTTTCCACAATAAGTAAAAATTAATTTCACAGCGATAAACTGCCAAGCAGTTATTAATTTTCTATATATTTTTAATTTCTATTGTACGTACTCGTATAATTTATTACGTATTTGGTAAATTATTAAAGGATGTTCGATAGTTTTTAGATTGTAGTGTGTAATTCATTTCTAATTTTTTTTAAAGATAATCTTATTGTATGCTTTTACAGTGTTGTGTGTAAAGGGTATATTATCTTCGTCAAGCTGTATGTAACATAGTTTAGGACATATACATATTATTATCATTACTATTAGAAAAGGATATAGCACTGCAATCTCTAATGCTGTTGCACAGTCTTCATGTAGTTAGAGTGAGTCTTTCTAAACTACTATTTCAATAAATAGTTTTATTTGTCCTTTATTTTAGAACAAGGCCATACTCCGTTAATAGCTATTCATTCAGAAATGTTTTTCCTTTATGTATCACCACAGGGCATGTTTTCAGTACATGTTTGCGCTCAATTTTTCTTTGCAAAACTTACAAATTTCATTTGAGACTTTGTCTAGTCTTTGAAGTAATGTCTTATTGGAGTTATTTGTATTGTAAATATTACACGTATGTCGACTCAGGTTTTAAATTCTTATAAGCGATATACAATGTTTTAAACTTGGTAGATTGTCCCAGTATAGTCTTCTTTTACCTCCTTTTCCTTCTTTACTTATAAGTAGGGGAATTTTAATCTTACCAGGACACAAAAAAGTTCTAAACGTATAAACAAAAATGTTGCTATATTTCTTATAGGCCTATATATCGTTTCATAGTCTTTAAATCCGATGTATCTTAGAATCCCTACAATACATATAGGAAAGTTCTGGTATTATCAAGGCCTAATGTTATTTTGAAACAATTTATATACAATATTCGTTATTTAGGGAGAAAAAATTGTATATTTATTATATTATATATTTATATATATTTATTATATTATATTTATTATTTTTATATTTATATTTGTATTATATTTTATTATTATATATATATTTATTTGTATATTTACAATTTATTTATATTTATATTTTTATACAAATTATATATTTATAAGTATTAGGTCGTTGGGTATTCAAAGGGTTCGTTCTATCGAGTACTCCTTAAGTCAAGCCTCTACTGTAATTGATTATTCTTCTCAGGCTTATTTAGCTTAAAATAATTCATATTCAGTTTTGATGTTACTTGACTTTTGAGCTAATTATTGGCTGCCTACTTCTCTGTCTACACGACCACATATGTAAGATCACAACATGAATAGATAGAGCTATATCTGCTTACCTGTAAATCTATTTGAGCTTGGCTGCCTACTGCAAAACATGAATAGATATAATAAATATTAACTGTGTGAAGGGTGTTGAAGCTTCATATAAACTAAAGTCAATATTTTAAATTAATTTAAAGTTGTTCAAATTGAGTCTGAAGTCCATATTACTGACGTCGTTCCAGAATGTACACCTGAGACAATAAATCAATTTTAGCAGTAGTTCCGATTTATATTTTTTATTTAAAAGTAGTTAAAAGAGAGACATCTGAAGTGTGTGCATAGAAACATCATAAGTACATTATGTTCCAACATGATTATCGATAACTTAGGGTTTATATTAAATAAATTAGGTTTTAGTGTTTTACAAAATATATGGTCATAAAACTTACCGAATTTGGTATCATAACAATTTC